TTTAATTTGAAGAGGGATGATGAAGATGATAGTGAGTAAGATGCCAAGGATGAGGAGGAGGAGGAGGAGGAGGAGGAGAAGAAGGAACAAATAAGATGAAGTTATTAAAATTAATTTCATTTAAATTCATTTAATTTATGAATTAAAAAATAAAATTTTTAATTTATCATACGTGGCCATTAATATTCACTATTAAAAATTTTTTTATAGTAATTATCTATCAGCAAGGTGAGCCTTGTCGGTGAAAATCTTTTTCACCGACAAGGCTCATCTCGCTAATGTTCAATTCCCTCAAAAAAAAAATTTTAATTTTTAGTTAGGTTAAATATTTAATTTGGTCCCTAAGCTTTCAGTTTTAGACTAAGTTCATTCTTAAACTTATTAAATTATCAAATTTGTCCTTAAACTTTATTTTTTCGTTACCGACTTGTTAATTTTCCTTAAAATTTAAATTTAATTAACGTTGTAAAATGATAATTATTTAATTATATATGTTATAACTAATTGTTATTATTTAATTATTTAATTATTTACCTAGATGACCAAGTTTCAAATTAACTTCTTCAGTTTTTCAATTTTACATGTGAAAAAGTAGATTATACATAGAGGTTGCCAAATCATCCATATGGCATTGGTTTTTTTACATGTAATTCTTTGAATTTCAAAAATATAAATTCATGGCATGTTAACATGCTAGTTGGGTACTTCTGTTGATGGAAGAACCAAGTTGGCAGTGAAAAAATAAAGTTTAAGGATAAATTTGATAATTTTATAGTTGGAATTATCACCGATATGGATTATGTTGGTAAATCTCACTCTAATTACCATATTACATATATTGCTAATTATTAATTAGGGATAGGGTGGCTACTGGTCTATCTAAAAATTTTAGCAACATGGTTCTTGTTGCTGAAATTCACTTAAAATGAAGATCACTTTTAAGTATTAGCAACATAGGTGTTGTCGGTGAAAATCCACACCATAAATTGCCAGTCAATCAGCGAGGACATGGGCAATCAAAAAATGTTAGCAACATGGTGCTTGTTGCTGAAATTCACTTTTAACAACAAGAACCATGTTGCTGAAAGTGAAGAACATTTTTTGGGGGAGTGAGTACTTATTTAAGTATAAGCAACATGGGCTTCGTCGGTGAAAATTTGTATTACCAACGTGCAATTCCATGTTGCTAATACTTAGTTGCTGAAAAAGAGGATTTTAGTAGTGGAATCTAATCAATATAAAAAATTTAAGGTAGAGAAATAATGTGATTTTTATAATATATTGTAAGAGAATCATGTAGATAATAGATTTAATATTAGTTTTTAAAATTCAAGTTAAAAGTGAAAATTATTTGAAAATTTGGCTTGAATTTCTTAAGAATTTGAAATCTAATTAAAAATGTCAAAACTCTTTTACTATCAACTGTTTTTGTCGAGCTAAAAACCACTGCAGGAATAGTATTAGTATTCACACCGCTAAGGGGGATGTCGACAGCTTTGGGTTAAAGACGCGCAAAAAATTTGACATGGAATAAAAGTTTCGATACCTTACCCAAGAGTGTTAACAACTTCATGCATGACAACAGTAGGAGAGTTCATTTGGCAGCAAGATTAGGCCTCTTTAACTAACTCTTAGTGTAAATATGCGTTATTTGTAAACTATATTTATATTAAGTGTTAGAGAGAGCTTGTGGTTTTCAATAATTAAGGAAAAATATGGTGGTGGAGATGACAATATATTGGGAAAATTGGGTTAGAGAGGGCAAGGGGAAAGGATCGAATTGGTGGCGGGATGTTTGTAGATTAGATGTAGCTGACCAAAGTAAAATTAGATGGCTATATGCAGGGTTTAAAATTGTGATAGGTGAGGGTGGAAGTGTTAGCTTCTGGAGGGATAAGTGGAGGGAGTTTGGAGAGTTGGCTAACATGTTTCCAAGGTTATACTTGATCTCTGCAAGTAAAGACTATAGGCTGAACCAAATGGGAAGTTGGGAAGAAGGAACTTGGAGGTGGAACCTTCAATGGAGACGAAAGCTTTATTCATGGGAACAAGACAAAGCTAAGGACCTGAACAACATTCTACAAAATACAATGCTAATACAAGGAGAATGAGACTCATGGAGGTGGAATCCTAAATTGAGTGGAAGGTACACTTCAAGCTCCAGATACACAAAAGATTGGTTGGAAACAACAACACACTTCAAACAAGAATCTATGAAAGGGTTTGGAATCAAATTTTCCCTCACAAAATATGTGGTTGTTTGGCAATTAATCATTGATAGGTTACCAACTAAGGCCAACTTACTTAATAGAGGGATTTTGAAAGAATATCAAGAAACTAATTGCTCCTTGTGTGATGAACGCTTGGAAGACAACAACCACCTGTTTTTGCATTGTAAAATTTCATCTCAAGTTCGGTCATTCTGCTATAGATGGTGGGAGGTTAATACTGTAATAGCAAGCAATGTGTGGGATGCATTTCAACAGCACGAAGGGTTGATAAATAATGGTAAAACAAAGGTAGGATGGGAATTTGTGTGGTTAGCAATTGTTTGGACTATTTGGAATACCAGAAATGATAAACTCTTCAATAATAGGTCAGTTGATATTGGAAGAATTATTGATTCTATTCAAATGAAGACTTATTAATGGTTAAGAAATAGAGCGAAGGAATGAAAATTCGCAATGTTTGATTGGACTTTAAACCCAAAGGAATGTGTGAACAATATTTGAACAATTGAGGTTATTTGATACATGTAGGTTTAGATGGTTCCCAACCCATCTGTGGATGAGGTTATTGTTTTGTAAACGGGTTCGAGTACTCCTTGTATTCAATAAATAAACAAATATATTATTTTGCTTTTCAAAAAAAATAAGTGTTAGAAAGAGATTGGAAGAGGAAAAAAATTTGTGAGAGATTAAGAGTCTTCAAGTGAACTGAGGAACTTATTATATTGAAGCTAATAATACTGTGAGTTTATTTTTCTTTTTTGCTTTTGTTTGCATGGTAGAGCCAAACAGAAAGGTCCAATACAAAATTTTCGGCAAATTTTTGTCCTCCTCTGTCAAACTAATCATGAGTGTCATGGTCCCAAACTCTTAATTTCAAAATTTCATGCAATGCTTATTTGCCTTCCTTGTTTTTGCCCCTGCTGTTGTTTCTGCTTATAAATTGTAGTCAATAAATCTGCCCATGATAGCGAAATGTCATGCGAGAGGATTATGTGAAGTTTGCCTAAATTTGATTTAGCGCTCACCAAGTATTCCACTTCTTCCATAGAAATGATTTCAGTGTTGACATTTTTTAAACCTTTTTGGCCAAAAAATTCCTCCTATATATTCTCTCTCTCATCTACATGAAAGGTCGAGATTTTTTGCCTTTTTTTGGTGAAAAATATTATAAAGGCAATATGATTTTTATGTTGAATTCATTTAGGATTTTATTAAAATAAACTAAAAATTGTCAAAAACAATAATTAGCTTTATGCCGTGTGCTTACAATTTTGTGAGATTTCAAATTTCATATATATTCAACTAAGTCTACTTAATCTTTGAAAACATAAACTGAAAGTTATCAAATAATCAAAGTGACTCATATAATACCACTCACAATTCCAATCTCATTGAGACATTTTTTTTTCTTTTCACACAGTAATTGTATTAAAAGAAGTATAAGGAGTATTCCTGCCTTTATATATATATGCTTACAATTATGTGATGATCCTTAATTACAATTGTTTACAATCTCTTTGAGACACTAATAAATGAAAAATAATTATTATATATTCTAATTTAACACATCTACTAATACATACATATTCAGTCTTATATTTGTAGTTGAAAGTTTTTTCACATTAAATTCAAATTTAAAAATAATAATTTATTACTATACGTTGTGGAGTGCGTTGAAACGAAAAGTATATCAATTATTATCTTACATTGAGCACTATGTTAGATGAAATTTTTTTCAAGTAAAAATGGGTTTGATCTATTTCTACGAGTTAATATAAACTCAGAAACGTTAGAGCTAATATGTTCGTAGTTCATTATAGGTTAAATATCTTTTTTGGACCCTCTACTATTGAAAAAAACTTTTTTGTGGTCCTTATACTAAAAAAATGTTTTTTTTGTCCTTAATGTTTGTAATTCAATCCTTTTTTAATATTTCTGTAAGTTAAGTCACAATGTAATACTATAATCCGTTAAATATTTTTTCTTTTCAATGTTGATGTGTAATTACATGTTAATCAATGGAGTCCAAAAAAAGACATGAAAATTGCCATTTGGGAAAAAAATTGATGATGTGGATCAAAAAATTATTTTTTTCTCCACAAAAATACTTGAAAATACAATGTTGATAAAAATGATAATGTGAATAGGAAAAAATATTAAATTATAATATAAACTTAGAGACGTTAGAGTTAATATCTTTGTAGTTTATTATAGGTTAAATATCTTTTTTGACCCTCTATTATTAAAAAAGGTCATTTTTTTGCCCTTGTACTAAAGAATCTTTTTTTTTTTTGATTCATGACATTCGAAATTCAATCTTTTTTTAGTCATTTAGTTAGTTAAGTCATAACTTAACATTATAATTTATTAAATATTTTGTCTTTTTTCCTTTTAACATTAATGTGTAATTACACGTTAATCAATGAATCTAAAAAAGACATGAGAATGCCGTCTGGGAAAAAATTGATAATATGGATCAAAAATTTATTTTTTTCTCCACAAAATACTTGAGAATACAATGCTGATAAAAATAATAAT